GGACTACACGACTTTTTGGCTGGATGTATGATGCTGCAGGTAGCTTGATTACGATATTTTTCCTTTAAGTTGCATTCATCTTATTATCGCAATTTCGGGGAAATTTATGAACCAAATATGTATGATAATAAGATGCATGATTCACTATGGCCAGACGAGAACATGAGATGCAGAGATGTACCATAGTTTTCTTACAAAATTCTACATTGTAAATAATAAAAGGTCACAAGTGGTCCCTTGTATTACAAAAATAAGATAGCAGCATCTCAATCAATGCTGGCCTTTTTTCATTGGGAAAATGTAGCCTGTTGTCACAATAAAGAGCTTATGCCGCAAACTTCGATAATTCCTTAAGCATTCTAGTTGGGCTTTTTATTGGCTTGCAATATGAGAAATGGTTTCCTACTTGCAACTAAGTGTAGCAGTAAAACGAAGAAAGCACATTACCTAAAAAATGGGATTGTTACATTACAATCGGTTCCATTTTATATAAACATCAAATGCAGAAGCAAAGATCTAATGGCAGCCTGAACTGAACAAGCAAGTTAACAGTGATTTAGTTGCAATGAAGATGGTTGTGAATTAATGAGAAGAATGGAGAATTTAGATTCATCTTCGTCTGTTTTCACATTGGCTATGGGTAAGGTGGGAGATATGCTTGCAATTATCAAACACTATTTTTTCTGTGCAGTGAAAAATATCTTTCACAGCGAGCATTCGATATTTGGTGTATGCGGAAACGAACGATACCGTAACTTTTTGTGACTGTTTTCGCAGAAGTTTTTTCTTTATTGCAAGGGGTGCCTCACCTTTCCAGATCCTACTGCGAGTTCTTTTATGATCAATCATGCTAACGAGGGAAGACTAAGTGACCGTGGCCCTGAAGGAGATGTGTACAGAAGAGTAGTTTTAGAAGGCTAGGCCCATAGTAAACTTCCCGTCAGGTGAGATGATCTGACCTGACGGGGTTAGTCCAACTCCACCGAGTTCACATGATCCCGATCCCTCCGCCATAGTATAAGGATACAAAGTCCGCGGACGGATCACGATCATGCGAGGTTCTGCG